ACAGCAACTGAGTCGCGTGATATTGAACTTTCCGATCATCAATCATTCATCAATTTTTACTATAAGGATGCAATATTGAGTGACAGTGCCTCCTTTCACATAACTTCCATCTGCAGTGGTAACTCGGAATGGCTTTGTTAACTTGTGCGTCCTGATGTTGTGGAGTTTAACAAAGTCTTTGGAAATGAATGTTCCGGCAGCACCAGAGTCAACAGCAGCAGTTGTTTCGACAGTTTTCAGATGGGTTTTTGAGATAAGGGAAATGGGAACACAAAGTTCCTTCCTGATTCCAATACTTCATACAAGTCTGATAGGTACAGTGGCTCAAAAAACTGTCCGCATGTTTTGACATTTTTCACTATCTATGATATTGTGTGAGAACTCACAAATGGCTCAAGGACATGCTTATACCACATTGTAGTATGGCTTCAGGGCTTTCATTTGAGCCCTACGCCGTGGGAATCGGTGGAGATATGGTGGAGATACAAGGCTTACAAAATCATGACTCATGTGGACAGTTTTTTGAGCACATATTAAAACTATATAAATCATCATTTATGACACCATAACAATCATGCCACCATTAAATAAATTATAAAGTGGTGTCATTATGTCATTTTAAAACCATATCTAACTATACAAACCAAAAATTTCCATATGTCATGGTTATATTCACCATGAAAGCCACCCCCCCTGCTCAAAGGGATAATATCCTCTCTCTTTCCTATTCTGGCCTCTCTGCTTGTCAAATTTCCTCTAGAACTGGAGTATCCAAGTCCACTGTGGCCAAGTTCATCAAAGAAAGTCACACAGACAAGGAAAACTTCTGTGAAGGGCATCCATCCAAGCTCACCTCTACTGATAGGAGGGCTATTATCCAACATATCACTACAGGAAAGGCTGATAATGCTGTCCAGGTCACCTATTACATCAATTCCACCATCACATTCCCTGTCTCTTCACACACTGTGAGAAACATTCTCAAGACAGCTCATCTCAGGTCAGTAACAAGGAAGAAAAGGCTCTCCTCTCTATCACACATATGCATCAATCCAGTCTTCCACATCAAAAATCCTTGGCAAGGCGACAGATCATTGTATCTTCATCTTCTTTGTCACTTTCTTCTATTTCTTCATGACGAACCAGGGTTTTCCCGTTCCTCTTCTGTGGGCAGGCCCTGGTCATGTGCCCCTTCTGGTGACACATGAAGCATAACCCTTTCTTCATATGGTCATTCCTTTCTGCTTCAGAAAGACGATCTACCTCCATGGCATTAGGATCATGCCGATCAATGGAGGGTCTAGGCACATATTGCTGTCCAGTTGGCTTGGTGGTGGCGCGATTGTTCTCACAGAACATGGCACCTCTCTGCCAATTGCTATCAAGCCTGATGGCTGTGGTGACGTACTTGTTGAAATCTGTGGGAATGGTTTCCATCTGAAAAATGGAATTGACAATTCCTTTCTTAAGTCCATCGTTGAAAAACGTGATCAAGACAGCATCTTGCTTTACAGAGGCTTGTGCGGCAAGAGTCTTGAAGCTAGCAATGTAGGAAGTGAGGTCGCCCGTTTGTTTCAAAGTGTGGAGCCTATTCATAGCTGTGCCAATGGCATCAGCTGGTACAAAGGCTTCTTTGAATTTTGTTTCAAAATTCGCAAAGGTTCCATAGGATTTGGAAGTGGAGTTATCAACTTCAGTGTAGAAGGTGAGGGCCCATCCCATAGCGCTATCTTCAGTCATATATGTGAGAGTGGTGATGACTTTCTTTTTGTCAGTACTGTAGATTGTAGCATTAAGGGCAAAGTATGCCTTAATCGAATACAACCATCATAAAGCTTTCTGGGGGCTTCCATCATACAATGTCAGAGCTCCTGCTTTAAGTTCTGAGGTGTTGGGTGCTGACATCCTGATCATCTGGTCTAGTGATGTTTCTGGGTGCAGGGAACATTTTATGTTTCTCTCTGTCTATTTCTGGTTTCTGGGTTTCTGGGACCTCCCTGATGGAGAGGGTTGGAGTAGGACTTTAATCCTTTGTTACAAACTAGGATAGTCGCGATGTCAACAGCTCGATAAGAGTGTCAGTTGAAGTTGAATCAAGACCTTACAAATGTAAGGGTCGTAAGACAAAGCAAAGAGAGTGTCTCTGCTTTGAATATAGGTTCAGACGACTTAGGATTGGAGGTCCTAAGCAAGAGATGTTCTGGTGAAAACCTAGTAGGATTAAAGTGAAGTTCTACTAAGTACATGACCGGATATATATATAGGACATAAGTACTTTAGGGCAGGTACATGCATGTCAGCAATGAGTCAGTGATAAGAGACGAGTCAGAGATAAGAGGTGAGTCAGAGATAAGAGGTGTGTCATCTAACAACGGCTGCAGTGATCACAATGTAATACAAATATAGAAAGGACAAGTCTAGTGATGGCATGGCATGGCGCAGTCATGACATAATACACATGTAAGTAAGGAAAATGAATAGGGGCAAGTGTAACTGTAACAGTAGTGGACACCATGATAAGGCATGAACAATTCATTGCACATGCCAAATCCAGCATCTGCAAGGTAAACCTTGCCTGGAGGAAATGTAAAATCAGTCAGACAAGCCATGTTGTAGACACATGCATCCACTGCAGACCCCTGGAAGCCACTCAACATGCATGTGAAATGCATGTTGAAGTTGTATGCAGCAAGGCAATTTTGGGTTAAATTCCCTTTGTGTCATATGCCATTCTGGACCCTCAACTCTAAATCTGCTTCTCTGGACATCCGGATCCAAGATCTGGATCTCCAATGATCTGATCTATCTTTATCTTCCTTCTGGAATCCAAACTCTATATCAGTGCCCAACCCCATTTAGACTTCCCCTGTCTCCAGACTCCAGTTAACTATGTTTCCCTTTTGATTATTGATCCATACATACATTTCATTTCTGATATGCATTATTTGTGATCCATCCTATTTGCTAATAGACTTTGCATATGCTTCGTACATAGCCTTTGTGTTTGCTGACTGATTCCTATATGATACCTACAGTATATAGACCTCCTGTAACTCTCAGAAATACTTTAGTTCAAATATCATCTTAGTTCCTGCTCATTCCTGTGTCCTCTGGATTTGAGCCAAGTCTCTTGTCACATTCCAAGTCTTAGGATTGCATCCTAGACTACATCTCTGGCTCTACCTTAGGGTAGTCTATCCCCTGTTAGTTTCTAGTCTGGAATCCATCTGGATTAGCCTTATCCGCTTGTCCAAGTAACATCCAGACATCTGTCGGATTTATCTCACATCTCAGATCTGGACGTCCATTATCCACCCTAGTCAAATCCTGGAAACTCCAGATGACTATTCTAGCCCCCGGAAATTAAGGGCACATACTTGGGAAAGGGGCACAGTGTATGAGCTGAGGCCAAGCCCTTGTGATCTGACCCCCTTGAGCACATAACCTTAACACTTTGCAGTCATGAGTGGCATTGCAATCAGCAGCTGAGGGATGGCAAGTGATGTGTGTGCCATCAATAGTGCTGATTACATCAGCAAAGTATGGATATAATTTTCTTGTCTCAAGGATTTGAGATGGTATTGGAGCATCTGCATTGGGAAGCCAGACATAAGTGGAATAGATTAGGCAGGAGGAGAATGCAATGAAAATTCATTTGAAATATCTGAAAGGAATATTGAGCATGCATAGGGGTAAGAGTGGGAGGACACACTTCGATATAGTATCATTTGAGCATCGAAAATGCTCAGCAAGGTAGCATACAGGAAGATGGCTAGTTGTTCCTCCAGGGTTATGTGTTTTGAGTCATTTATACCACCCTCACAAAGTAATTGTAGCAGTACAATGAATACATAATGATGCACACCAAGCTCACATCAAATCTGTTCTGGATGGCCATTGAGAAGTTCATTGACCCAGCCAACTCCTGTCAGGATTGAAGTATGATATGGTTGTTTGTTGTAATAAGTGTTTGTGTATGAAATCATGGTGACCCCCACAATATTGATGACTTCAGAGGCTGATGAGACCATGTGCTGAAAAAAGTTGATGATTGCTTGAAGAAACTTGATATCAGATTCCTCTACATCGTCAATGCTCTCCAAATCCTCCATCTTCCTCATCTTCCACATCTAGTTGGTCCTCCTCATCCCACTCACAATCCCTTGAGTTTGATGAAACCTCATCATCAGTGTTGCCACTGCTGTGGAGAAAGAGGTGGGGGAGCATGGCCATGGTGTGTGTATACTACACACACTATGATATTGATCACACTGCTAATCAGCATGACATCTGTTTCAAGCTCTGATGAGCAAATGCTTACTTAATCTTGTTTTTTATTTCTCAAAATTTGTTGAAGTTGGCCAAAATCATGATCCTGAACAGAGTCTAGCAATTTCAAGTACTTACACAACACAGGGGGGCTTCTTGGACCTGAACCACCACCTTCAGGTAGGGTGGCACTCACACAGGGTGTTGCCTGACACTGTCAATGTTCACACAGAACATAGTGTTATCCACCACATGAATCTATAACTAAGTTCCCCAAGCAGAGTTGATATTGAGAGCCCCACACACAAGAAGTGCATGCCCATCACCTATGACACATGGATCCCAAACAACCAAATAGTAAGAACTGATTGAAATAGGAACCTCATCTACCTTCAATGATATGCAATCTATGCACCACCAGACCACTACAACAAACATATGCTTCTCCACAGAGACCAACCAACAATGAATGCACTCGCCACTAGTGGCCCAAACTGACTGTGTGGCATCACACCTTGATAAGAACAACAAATGTCTTTGTTCGCCCCACTGATAATATGTCACCACTTGTGAACCACTCTATACTCACAAAGGACCTTAGAACACTCCTTCCCACATCCAACAAAGGATCTTGGCTAAGCAATTGCTTAAAAGCTGCAAGTCCTCAACATTCTCAACAAGCCTAAGCAGTCACCTCCCACTCCTCATCATTATATACTCAATGAACTAAGATGCCAGCTGAAGACATTGCCCCACCCACCATGAGCCAACCAACTACCAACACTGCAATCACCACTGCATCCATTCCCCCAACCTACCACATGAACACTGATTCTCATACTGGCAAGAGGAACTGCCCAGCCTCCCCAGTTGCAGACACCAACCATACTTCTAACCAGACCAACAGGAAAGTACAGAAACAAACCTCTGCCTCCTCTGCTCCTGCAAACAAACATCTGAATATTAAACAACCCCCCCAATCACCTGCAGCCCAACACCAATGGGACTTTCTCAGATTGGGTACCACTACCATGGCTGAAATTTTGGGTAGGCCACAACCACCCATAATCCATTCATCAACTAATATACAATCACTAGTAAATGGTGTCAGGACCCTTGACAGCAGTTTCAGAATCACTGCAACCTCACCAGGTGGCTTCCACACCCCCCAACTCGGTCAATTAACATGGGGCAATGTCTCTCAAGTACTGAAGGAGAGGTGGCCCCAGAAGGAGGGTGCCAAGGCATGGGTACACACCTACTGGGCTAAGCATGAAAGCAATGCCCAGAGCATGGTGTGAAAGACATAACCTAACTGGACACTTGATAAAAGTACTCAGCCAGTATAATGGTCAATGCTCTGCCTAGCTGCTACACCTGCAAGCAAGAACATTTGACCCAAGGGAATCAATGGACTAGGCTCAAGCTCAAGAGATAAAATGAGTGAGTGAAAAGTGGACACTTCAAGTCAAAGACAGAAAACTATGTTCCAGGAGCTATCTGGTAAGCTGAGAAGCTACAACTAGGAAGCTACAACTAGGGGATGCTACTAAATAACCCAAGTGAATGGGGAGCAACCAAGAACTGGAGACAAGGGGAAATTGAGTAGTGAGTGTAGAGTCCTAGGTAAAGGGAAGATGGTTATGTAAGCAGTAAAAATGCGAACATAACCTAAGGAAAGTAACAACAAGAGAAGCATAGTAAAAACTACCATTTGCAGGCTAGAGTCAATATGATTGTCACAATGATAGCCAAACTTAAAGACACCATCATCAAAATTATAGGTGACTCGAATGCAGAAATCCTAGTTGTAAGCACCCCCACTGCTGCTGTTGAACTTGTCAAAAGACTCCCTGTTAAGGTTGTGTACTCAAGGGGGTCAGATCACAAGGGCTTGGCCTCAGCTTGTATGCTGTGCCTCTTTCCCAAGTATGTGCCCTTAATTTCTGGAGGCTAGAACAGTTGTCCAGAGTTTCTGGGATTTGACTAGGGTGGAAAATGGATGTCTGGATCTGAAATGTGAGATAAATCTAGTGGACATCTGGATGTTACTTGGACAAGCAGATAAGACTAATCTGGATGAAGTCCAGACTAGAAACCAACAGAGGATAGACTACCCTAAGGTAGAGCCAGAGATGTAGTCTAGGATATAATCCTAAGACTTGGAATGTGACAGGAGACTTGGCTCAAGTCCAGAGGACACAGGAATGAGCAGGAACTAAGATGATATTTGAACTAAAGTATTTCTGAGAGTTACAGGAGGTCTATATACTGTAGGTATCATATAGGAATCAGTCAGCAAACACAAAGGCTATATACAAAGCATATGCAAAGTCTATTAGTAAGTAGGATGGATCACCAATAATGCATATCAGAAATGAAATGTATGTAACAGATCAATAATCAGAAGGGAAACATAGTTGACCAGAGTCCAGGGACAGGGGAAGTGTTAAGATCATACTCAAGGCTAAATGGATCTGAAGGGCTTCAGTCTCAGCTCATGCACTGTGCCCCTTACTCAAGTATTGCCCCTTATTTCAGGAAGGCAAGACTAACATGTCTGGAGGGTTGGATGGGTAGCGTAGTGGATCCGGATGACTCCTGGATGTGGGATAAGTATTGTAAGGCTAATCTGGACAAGTCCAGACTAGAAACTAGTGGTAGTAGCTGTCATAGACAGAGGCAGATGCAGATAGACTATAGGAATCAATCCTAAGTCTTGGAGGGTGATGAGAGTAGCGGTACTCAGGTCCAGAGGACAGGAATGAGCAGAACTAAGTTGATATTTGAACTGAGGTGTTACAGAGATTTACAGGAGGTTATATACTATAGGTATCTAATGGAATGATCAATCAGCAGGGTCCGAGGCTATGTACGAAGCATATGGGTAGTCTATTGGTAAGTAGAAACAGATCACAAATAATAAAATGGAAATGAAGCATAGGTAATGGATCAGTGAGCAGGACGGATATACTGATAACTGAAATACCAGAGTTAGGGGATTACCGAAAGGAGATGAGTGCTGGTTGTGGATTCGGATAAATTGTGGACTGGACCAGACGAGTGGACAGATTGGATGACAAGATGTTGGAGGGGGATAAGATGTGGATAGGATTGGAGATAAGATGTGGATTGGATCTGAGATGAGATAAGGATTGGATCTGAGATCTGGATATGCGGATATGACAGGAAGTCTAAATGGGATTGGGCACTGATATAGGGTTTGGATTCTGGAGGAAGATCAAGATAGATCAGATCATTGGAGATCCAGATATCTGGAGAAGCAGATTTAGGGTTGAGGGTCCAGAATGGCATATGACAAGATGGCACAATGGCACCAACAAATGGCCACATATTAACCAACTAGTTAAAGAAAAGAAATTTGGAGTGTTAGCCCTCCAAGAGACACATCTCACTAAAGAGGAAGAGAGTGTACTATATGCAACACCAGGCTTCAGGATTCATATCATATCCTCAATTGACCTTGCACATACAAATGCCAAAGGTGTAGCCATAGTAATTAATAAGATGCTGCTGGGAACTTTGGGAATCAAGATGCATGAACTGGTACCAGGTAGAGCAATACTTACAATAATACCATGGCATAAAGACACTCCCATTAGAATCCTCATGATCTATGCACTGAATGATGGGCAAGCAAACCAACAATTCTGGGGTTCAAACTGAGAAACCTGCTGAAGCCAGATCTGATGTTGGGTGATTTTAACATAGTAGAGGATTCACTTGACTGCCTACCCCCCAAAATAGACTCAGCTAATGCATCACACACTCTATACCAGCTTAAATCCCATCTCCAACTGAAGGATGACTGGTGTACACGAAAACCTGAGTGCACTGTCCTACACCTTCTCACAATTCACATATCAAGGTGGCAGTTAGTCCTGAATCAACCAAATAGATGTAAGCAATGAGCTCCTACCTTTCAGCAAAGAATGGGACATTACCCCCCCAGGCATACATACCAACTACCAGATAGTTTTGGTGAGGATCTCCAGCAAGCAAATGCCCTACATAGGCAAGGGGCAGTGGTCTTTACCACTCTATGTCCTTAAGGATAAGGATCTTGGTGAAAAAGTAATTGCACTAGGCAAAACATTACAAGTCAAAATTGAGACATCTTCAAATCAACACACTGACAACATGAACCCTCAACTTGCATTCAGCTGCTTCAAAGCAAAAGCAATTAACCTTTGCAGAACTGCAGCTAAGAAGACAATCCTGAAGAAAGTAAACCAACTTAAGTCCCAACTAAGGACCACAATGGAAGACACAAGCCTCTCAGAAGAAGATAAGTGCATCATATGCCTACATATCCAAGAGAAGTTTAATCAGATAGAAATACTGTAACATGACAATGTGTTAAGGTTGTACTCAAGGGATAACTGGATCCAAAGGGCTTTGGCCTCAGCTCATGTGCCTGTGCCCCTTACCCAAGTATTGCCCCTTATTTCAGGAAGGCAAGACTAACACATCCGAAGGTTGGGTGAGTAGTGTAATGGATCCAGATGACTTCCGGATGAGGGATAAGTATTGTAGGGCTAATCCGGATGAGTCCAGACTAGAAACTAACAGTAATGGACTGTCGGAGACAGAGGCAGATATGGATAGACTATAGGAATCAATCCTAAGTCTCGGAGGGTGATGAGAGTAGAGATACTCAGGTCCAGAGGACAGGAATGAGCAGAACTAAGTTGATATTTGAACTGAGGTGTTACAGAGATTTACAGGAGGTTATATACTATAGGTATCTAATGGAATGATCAATCAGCAGGGTCTGAGGCTATGTACAAAGCATATGGGTAGTCTATTGGTAAGTAGAAATGGATTACAAATCATGAAATGGAAATGAAACATAGGTAGCGGATAAGGGAGCAGGACGGATATACAGATAACTGAAATACCAGAGTTAGGGGGTTACTGAAAGGAGACGAGCGCTGGTTGTGGATTCAGATGAGTTGTGGACCAGACCAGACGAGTGGACAGGTTGAATGATGAGATGTTGGAGGGAGATAAGATGCAGATAGGATTGGAGATAAGATGTGGACCTGAGAAGAGATAAGGGTCGGATCTGAGATCCGGATATGCAGATATGACAGTATCCCCCCTTTAGGGCCGATCCCTAGAGGCACAAGATCTGACAATCCGGACTGGACGATATGAGGGCAAGAATTGATGGAGAAGCTGATGGATGGAGTTTGTGAGTTCTGGTTTCCACAGATATATGGATGTCAAAGTGTCCTAGGTCTTCCTTCCTTTCCTCACTTTACCCACTCATACTAGCTTTGAATATCATGTCTGGCAACAAATCCAGTGGTCAGAAATCCACTAGGGAGACCCTTGTGGAACTTCAGCACCAGATGGCACTCATGGAGGCTGCAGCTCAGAGAGAGGAAGAGGAAGAGGAGTGGAAACATCAGGAAGTGGAATGGAAACATGAGGAGGAGAGGAAGTGGATTGAGCAGTCTGAGCTCTGGGTAGCACAGGAAGAGGAGAGGCGGAGGGCTGAGGTGGCCAGGAGGGTGAGTGATGCTAACTCTATCAGATCTGGAACTGAGGGGTATGCTAGTCCCAGTCCGCTTCTATGTCTGGAGCTCAGGATGCTCCCTGCACTCATTGCATCAGTAAGAAGAAGACGTGCTCCTGGGAGGATGCCAAGTCTAATGGGCTGGTAAGATATTCCTTGCCTTGGACATCCGGAACTGGGTGTACTGATATCCAGATAGATCAAGTCTTGTGATGTCTGCAGGATTGGTAGGGTCTCCTGTCCCGGAAGTATGGACAAGCCCAGGGAACCAAGGTGGAAGAGGCAGCGTGCTGTGGTGACTCCATCTCTGAAATCCAAGGGTAAGAGACATCAGAGGAGCCCTACCCCTGAGGAACCAGAAGTGGAGGAAGCTTCCAATCCATGGACTGGAATAGAGATGGATGAGGGGAGTGTGGAGTATGATGACCAGGCCTGGGTTGCTGCTGCCAACAGCATAGTAGCGGAACTGGCCCAGACCAATGGGCTTCTCCAGGAGAGTATTGGAGCTGCAGAAGGGAGTAGGTTGGTGATGGAGCGGATGAACACTAACATGGAGGACTTCATCTAGCAGCAGAGGGACTTCCAGTCCATCCTCCTGGAGGGGATCTGGAACAGATTCCGGATTGCAGATGCCTCTACTCTGGATGATGCTGACAAGGATGTTGAGGAGGAGGCTGGAGGATCTGGAGGGGACATGGAGACTGATGGGTGAGGAGCTCCAGATTTCCGCTTCTGCCCCTAATGTACTTGTATCTG